CGCATGGTATGATTTGATAGGGAAAGTCGCAACAGATGCCGCGCGCGCCGAGGCGCATGTGCGCCGCATGGTATTTTTTGCAAGGGATCGCAGAGGGCGGACACCGCGGAGATACATCCCAGAAGAATTGGTTTACCATTTAAATTAATAATGCTTTAGGTTGTTTAGGGTTTAGGGTTTAGGGTTTAGGGTTTGGGGTTAGGGTTAGGGGTTAGGGTTAGGGTTAGGGTTAGGGTTAGGGGTTAGGGTTAGGGTTAGGGTTTAGGGTTTAGGGTTAGGGTTTAGTGTTAGGGGTATGGTTTGTGTTGAGGGTTAAGGTTTAGGGTTAGGGTGAGGGTTTAGGGTTAGGCTTCGGGTTCGGGTTTAGGGTTAAGGTTTAGGGTTCAGGGTTTAGGGTTAGGGTTAAGGTTTAGGGTTAGGTCATAGGGTTTAGGGTTACAGTTAAGGTTTAGGGTTAGGGTTAGGGCTAGAGTTTAGGGTTAGGGTTAGGGTTAAGGATTAGGGTGTAGGGGTTAGGGTTAGGGTTAGGGTTTAGGGTCAGGGTTTAGGGTGTAGGGTTTTGGGGGTTAGGGTTCCGGGTTAGGGTTTAGGGTTAGGGTTTAGAGTTTAGGGCTAGAGTTTAGGGTTTAGGGTCAGGGTTGGGGTTGAGGTTAGGGTTTAGGGTTAGGGTTAGGGTTTAGGGTTTAGGGTGAGGGGTAGGGTTGGGGTTAGGGTGTAGGGATAGGGTTGAGGGTTAGGGTTAAGGGTTCAGGTTTAGAGCTTAGGTTAGGGCTAGGCTTAGTGTTAGGGTTTGGGGTCAGGGTTAGGTCTACGGTTAGGGTTTAGGCTTCGGGTTAGGGATTAAGGATTAGGGTTCAGGGTTTGGGTTAGATGTTAGGGGTTCGGGGGGGTCGGCGCGGGTGTGGTTAGGGATGGTGCGTGTTTCTGGAGCCCGGGGGCGCGAGCCGGGGAAAGGTGGAGGAGGGGGGGGGGGGGGGGTCGCCCGACGACGGTTCGGGAGAGGGGGGGGGGGGGGGGTTCGCCGACGACGGCTCGGCGAAGGGGGGGGGGGGGGGACGACCTTCGGCCCGACGACGGGCTCGGGAGGGGGGGGGCGGGGTGGGGTTTTCGACCGACCACCCGTGGGATCGGGCAAGGGGGGGGGGGGGGGGGGGGGTCCGAAACACCCCCCCCCCCCCCTCACTTTGGGTGATCCAGCGGCGCGCCCTCCTCGATTGGCGTCGATCGGCGTCAATTCAGCGCCGATCAACGTCGACTCGCAGGATCCAGCAAGATGGTATGTTGGCTCGCACGAGTTGCGGTAGAAAAAGGAAACGGGCCAGGTGTCATCTCGCGGCGCGAGTTCGCCGACGGGCTCACCGAGGGTTCGGTCCACGTGTAGCCGGCCGGGCGAGCACGGGCCCCCTTCGCTCCTGGCCGCGGGGGTCGGGGGGAGGAAGGAAAAGGAAGGGAGGGAGGAGGGAAGATCTGAGGAGCAAGAGGTCATGAGAATGATACGATCCAAAGTTACCAAGAATTCCAGGAGTTTCCAGACTCCCATGTGTTCTGTTAGGAGAGGAGAAGAGAATCGCTCGACCACTGACCTCACCACGGCGTGATTGCCAGTCATGGAGGAACGCTGCGCGAGCCGACCTGTCACAGGCAAGCCCATGCGATGAAGCCTGGCCTGAAAGGAAACGTTTACGATATGAGTTTAGAAAGCCAGAGCGGGGGAAGAAACGGAGGAAAGCGGGGAGACGCGGACAGAGAGAAGCGATCCCGAAGCCTTGATGATCCGTGACGCGATGACCGGCCGAAGCCGCAAGACCCTACGACACAGCTGGACACCACGTTGTCCGAAGGCAAAGCGCGCGAACGGAAGATGCTGCACGGACTGTTCTGATTGAAGCAAAAGCCGAGGAAGGAGACCAAGCTCGGGAACGATTGGTGACTGCCGGAGCCAGAGCCGCCCAGGCCCGCCCCCATGGCTCTAGAGGTGGATCGACCTCCTACCCTGACACGTCGATGAAGGATTTGGCCGTTTTCGAGCAGCGAGAGGGCGGCGCGGCCGTCATTGTTGCGGGTCCAGGTCCGTCGGTTTCGGTCCCAGGCCGTTTTCACTAAGGGGAGGTTCCTAAAGGGAGGTTCGTCCACCGCCGAATGGCTGGCAACGACAGCTGCCAATTTGAGCACGGCCGAAACATACAAACGCATGCCACAGCGGTGCTGACAAAAGTGCCCTCGGCGAGTGCAGCGGGGAGCCCTCGGAGCGGGCCGGCATGCAGGACCTGGCGGAAGCTCCTTGCCAACACCGCGGCTGCCAGCGGCGCTCGGCGGGGTAGTTTCACTTGGCCGCTGAGTTATATCTACACTGGAGGGAGGGGTGCAGAAAGAAGAGGGGAAGGAGAGAGGGAATGGAAGAGATCCGACAGGCATCGCACAGCAACTCGAGGACACAACCCGCTGGCGCCACACCAGCGACGCGGGCGCGGAGGGAGACCCAAGGGAAATAACACACCAAATAATAGTTCCAGGTGCTCCGCACGGGCTGCAGAAACATGGGCGGCTAGATGTCCCAGAATTCCTGGAACGTATCTGTTGCCATGACTTCATCCCTGTCGTAATGAGGAGGTGGAGGAGGAGGTGGAGGAGGAGGACGACGATGAAACCACGACTGGCGGGTTTTGTAAATGTTCTGTCTCCGGGGGCCCTCAGCGGGCCCTGGGGCCGCCAAGGTTCCAGTCGAGGTATAGAGCCGGTCCGGGAGACGAGGTCCAGACCTCTGGAGAGCCGCCTTTGGAAGCTCCTTGGGAGGCTCCCTGCCCTTTTGAGCACGTTCCTGGCCCTTCTTACGCTGTTGGAGGCCGTCTTTGGGGCCTGATTCAGCCAACTTGGGTCCTCTTGGGGCGAGGCCATCTTGGACGTCTTGGAGGCTTCCTTGGCTGTCGTGGGGCCGTCTTGGAGGCCTCTTTGGCCGTCAGGGGATCATCTTGAGCCGTCGGAGTGCCAAGCATGAGCAAACGCCAGCAGATTCCGTCAAAATCAAAGCGACATCCATGATGTCGAGGGTCCCTTCGAGTCTTCCTGGAGGTACTCTTGGAGCCTTCTTGGGCCGTCTGGGAGGCCTCGTGGGCCGTCTTGGGCGATTTTGATGCAATCTTGGAGACATATTGGGGCCATATCTCTCTTGTTGCCAACGTATCCATCCTGGAGACCGTCCTGGTCGTCTTGGACTCCATCTTCGGGCCGTCTGGAGCGGGAAGACCGACGACCTGGGAAGGTTACGGGCGCAGAGATCACGGGAACATACGTTGTCCGGGTGGCCAGCGCGTCAGGCCGAGCCCGAAGAGGCCCACAGCATTGATTCCCCACAAGTTGTTGGCGGATGCGAGCGTCTGTTAAATTTCTTCTAATGTGTTTGCATGCTGACGGCCCAGAACGGCCAAGACGGCACCAGAAGCCACCAATGTGGCCCCAAGGAGCATCCACGAGGCCTCCGAGATGACTCCTTGAGAGCCCAGGGACCCTCAAGAGGACCCCAAGAGGGCCACAAACGGCACAAGAGACTTCAAGACGAACAAGATAGTTTTCAAGATGCCCTGAAGCGTCCCAAGGGAGCCTTTGGACGGCCAAAGCGCCCCAAAGAGCCCAAGCATGTTTTCAAGAAGCCTCCAGCTCCCAGGAGGCGCCAAGGATGCCCCAAGACGGTCTCCAGGACATGCTGGCTACAGGAGAGTCCAAGATGACCCCAAGATGTCTCCATTATTGTTTCAGAATCACCCTAGACGGCCCACGATGCCTCTAAGACGGCCCACGAGGGCTCCAAGATGAGCTCCAGGAAGGGTCGAAGCGGCAGTCAACATCATGGATGGCGCATGTGATTTTGACGGAATCTGGCGTTTGCTCATGTTTGGCATTCCGACGGCCCGAGACGGCCCCAGAGGCCACCAAAATAGCTCCAAGGAGCACCCACGAGACCTCTAGAATGACACCCTGACAGCACAAGCGGCCCCTCAAGAGGACCCCCATAGGGTCCCGATACGGCACGGGAGACCTCCAAGACGAACAAGATAGTCTTCAAGATGGGAAAGCTGACGACCAGGAAAGTTTATGGGTTGTTCAGGGAAGGCCGATGGGTAGGCACACTGGGAACCTTGAAGAAGGACCAAACATGTGGCACGCCGCGAACTTCTGCGGCAATCCACAGGGGGCGGCGGATCTTCTGGCTTGCGGCCCATCCCGCTGCCGTGCCTGGGCTGTATAGGGGAACGTACAGGTATAAACATAAAAATTCGGGAGTCCACCAAATTTCTCGGATCCGCGCTTGGCCTCCCTGGGGGCGCCTCTGGCGCCGCCCCTGGCGCGCGGAGCGCGCCGGGGAGGCGGTCCAGCGCCGATCCGAGAAATCCGCGCGGACCACCGAGATTTTTTGACTGTGTCGTTGTTCGTTCCCCTACAGTCGGCCCGGATCAGTAGGTCGACCCTGCCAGCTCAAGGGTACCCCTGTGTCCTGTGCCTCGCGACGCTTGCCTTCTGGCACTCCCGTAGCGATGTGGCCCTCGGAAGGGTCCCGTGACCTCTCGCGTGGCCTGTCCAGTCGAGTCTGACTGTGTTGCAGGTCGGGGGCCTCTCGGTGCCCTCTTGGCCCGGTCGGGGCGCCCGTGGTTCCGAAGAGCTCATGCGGCAAGCGCCAGGGGGCACCGCAGGGGGGCACGCCAGGGTCCTCTGCGCAACTCGGAAGGCTTGGGGCCCTTGGGCCTGGGCCCTGCAGCACGTGCTCGATGCAAGCCTGAGGCCTGCGGGCGAGGAGGAGGAGGAGGAGGAGGAGGAGGAGGAGGAGGAGGAGGGAGGAGGAGAGAGGAAGGAGGAGGGGGGTTGGGGAGGAGGAGGAGAGGGGATGAGGAGGGGGGGTAGGAGGAGGATGGGGTTGAGGAGGAGGAGAAGGAGGAGGAGGAAGAGGGGGAGGAGGGAGGAGCAGGAGGAGGAGGAGGAGAAGGAGGAGGAGGAGACAAGGGACCTGAGGGAACTCCAACTCGTGCCTCGCGGCCCGGCAGCGGATGTGCGGCACGTCCGCGCCGCGCGGTCGCGGCGGCGGCGGCCAGTGGCCCGGGCTCGGTCGACGTCGAGCGGGCCGCGCCCGTCGGGCAGCCGCGCCCGCGCGAGGTCGAGGCTCGTGCCTCGCGGCGCGAGGCCACGTGGCGGATCTTTCCAGCGCCAGCCGTACAGTCAAGATTGGTGATAAGGGTGGGTAGCCTTCCCGAGGGCAGCATTGCATCCCTGCCTCTTCTCGTCGAGAAACAGAGAGAGAGAGAGAGACCGTCCCCAAGCTGAGACGACGAAGGCGTGGCCTCACTTAGGTCCCCGTCTTCGCATTTGGCCCTAATGCGAAGACGTGCCCAGAAGCATTAGCCCGAATGAGTAGGGGTGATACTTCTGGGCGGTTTGGTCTGATGCATCTGCAGAAAGACCCCACTATCCATAATGTATTTGGACTCGACGGCCAGCCGCGCTCGAAGAGGCTTCAGCACGGGCGTCCACGGGGCCTGCATTCCCGTCGCTCAGCCTTGCCATCGGTTTTGGCTGCAGCTGTTGGCATCCGCTTGGCATCGCTCGCACGTGAAGCCCCCCTCCTTATTTCCCTCACTTCTCGCTACTCCTCGCCGAGGAGGTGTTGGTGTCGCCTTTCCCTGTTCCTATTACCCCCCCCCTCGTCGAGCGGCGCTTGCCCCCTTGCAAATGCTCCAATGTCCTCGGCGGCGTGCCCGCGCTTGCTCCGCCGGCGTCAAGAAAGGCGGGGCGGCTCGCGCGCGCGGGCGCCGCGCGGGACTCGGCCGGCCAGGAGCGGCCGCGGCAGGGGCAGGCCGACGAATGTACGAGATGGTGTTTTTGAGCGGTGAGCCCGAAACGATCCACAAGGGGGCTCGCCCCCTCTCCTCCTCCTGCTCCTTCTCCTCCTCCTCCTCGTCCTCCTCCTCCTCCTGCTTCCTCCTCCTCCTCCTCCTCCTGCTTCCTCCTCCTCCTCCTCCCCCTCACTCCAACCTGCTCCACCTCCACCTCCTGCTCCTCCATCCTCCTTCTCCTCCTCCTCCACCTCCTCTCTCCTCCTCCTCCTCCAGCTCCTCCACCTCTTCCACCCCACCTCATCCTCCCCCCTACCTCCATCCTCCTCCTCCTCCCCCTCCTCCCCCTCCTCTTCCTCCTCACCTCCTCCTCCTCCTTCTCCACCCTCGCGCCTCTGCTCTGTCCTGAATCCTCTCCTCTCTCTCCTCCCTCCTCCCTCCTCCTATCCTCCCTCCCTTCTCCCTCCCTCCCTCCCACCCCCCTACCCTTCTTCCTCCTCCTCCTCCACTCCCTTCCTCCGCCTCTCCTCTCTCCTCCTTCTCCTTACTCTTCACTCCTCAGTTCTCCTCCCCTCCTCCCCCCCTCGCATCCTTCCTCCCACTCCTCATCCTCGATTTCCTCCTCGTTCCTCGTTCTCCTCCTCTCTCCTCCTCCCTCCTCCTCCTCCTCCTCCTCCTCCTCCTCCTTTCTCCTTCTCCTCCTCGTCCTCCTCCTCCTCCTCCTCCTTCCCCTCCTGCCAGGGCTTGCCAGTTTCAGAGAAGAGCATCATCCTTTGCTCCAATGTCGCCGACAGCAAGGTTATAGTCGCTCGCCTTCGCCGTCGGGGATTTAAGTTGCAGCACGGCCAGCAAGCATGTCTGTTAGGAGTGGATCTCGGTGCAGGTCGCATTGCCAGAGCCACCAGAACCAAGCGCAGTCAGAAGGCTAAGGCCATGAACTTTCGTATTCGTCGCTTCGCTCGAGCTTCTCGCAAATATGCTCGGACTGGTATGCTTGAACGTGCTGGTGCTCAGGCGGCGTGTACGTACGGGCATCAGGTGTACGGAGCCTTCGGTGATTTTCGTTTGCAGTGTCGGCGTCGTCTTGGGCATACCTTATCTTCTGGTTCCCGCGGGAGGTGCCTTACCACGGTTTTGGACCTTAGGGCCGACGGTCACGATCCAGGGTACAAACTTCCAAGGGAGTGTTTACAGCTATGGCTTCGCACGTGGATGCAGGAGCCGTCTATTCGCCCAGCGGTGCGGGCAGCGTGGCCTCGTGTTGTTTCACAATTTCGGCAGCTTGCCCAGCGGCAGGTAGCCCAAGCAGTGCGTGGCCCCATTTCAGCAGTAGTGGCCTACCTCCTCGAGTATGGTTGGGACCCGATCTCTCCGAGCGAATGGCATACGCCCCCCGATGATGAAGGACCAGGTGCAGTCTGGACGTTTCCTGACGAGGCTGTATCGAGTTCTGAGGATATCAGTGGGCTTATCCAGGAGTTCGAGGATTCGGTTTGTGCTCGGCAGTGGGTCACAGCCAGTCGGCATTTCTGCGGCGAGGGGCTGCAGCACGGTGCCGACAACATGTCGTACAGGCGTGTTTTGAAGGCTCTCAGCGACGTGCCCAAGCTTGGGGCCAAGCTCGCCGAGACACTCTTTGCGATCGCCGTCGGCGGGACTTGGCCGAAGTCCAGAGTCAAGGACGAAACCAAGGCCGACGTTAGCGAGATCTGCCAGCGTTGCGGCGAGAAACCAGAGACTCCGCTGCATCGCGGATGGACATGTCCATGTAACACAGGCAGCCCAGTATATAGGGAGTCGGACCATCTGGTTTCGAGAGCGATTTCTGGGCAGGACTCTGAGTCTTGCTTTTGGTTCCGTGGGGTTATTCCTGCTCCCTGGACCAAAGTTCCGCCTCCCTCTTCAGGTGAGTCTTGGAGAGTTTACAATGATAGCGGCGATTTTCATGGTAGCGGGGGCCTGGGGCAGGGGTCCGCCGAGCACCCCATTGTCGTCTTTGGGGACGCGAGCGGTGGCGAAGATAGTCGCGACTCTCGGCTTCGGCGCGTCGGCGTTGCCGCTTGCACCCTTGCGAGTTTCAGTCAGCCCGAGGTCCGTGCTGCCGTTGTTGGTCCGGTGCCAGGTCTGGTGCAAACTGTTCCGTGTGGGGAGCTGTGGGGTCTCCTGTTGGCCATCAAGTTCTCCTACGGGGCCCTGGTGTACATTACCGACAACAGCGGGGTTATCGATGGGTGGTTCAATAAGTGATATGCGACCCCTTCGGGGTCTAATCAAGCAGTCTGGAAGCTCATCGGCAAGGTTTTCGAGGGTCGTGATATTTCACTGGCCTGTATCTTTCGATTCAGTTATTTATAGGCTGCCGAGGGGTCGTCAGGTACATACCGGGGGGGGCTGGGTCCACGAATCCCACGAAATGGTTTATCATGTGTCTCTGATGTGTTGGATTTGTAAGAAGTGTGGTTCGTACGCTAGTCAGCAGCTGAGGCCGATTCTTGCCAAGGCGTGCGATGAAGTGTTGACCGACACGCGCAAGATGTACATTCAGAGGTTTTCCGAAGGCCTTTGGCCCAGGGATCAGGGTAAGTCCTCGAACCGAGCGAAGGCCTCTTAATTCGGGTTTGGCTTGTTGTCGTCTTATCTGTCTTCGCACCGCGATGGGGCCGATTCCGATTCCGATTCCGATTCCTCCTCCTCCTGCTCCTGCTCCTCCTCCTCCTCCTCCTCCTCGTCCTCGTCCTCCTCCTCGTCCTCCTCCTCCTCCACATCCTCCTCCTCCTCCTCCTCCTCCTCCTCCTCCTCTTCCTCCTCCTCCTCCCCCTCCTGCCTCCCTCCCCTCCTCCTCCTCCTCCTCCTCCTCTCCTCCCCCTCCTCCTCCTCCCTCCTCCTCCTCCTCCTCCTCTTCCTCTCCTCCCCTCCTCCACCTCCTCCTCCTCCTACCTCCTCCTCCTCCTCCTCCTCCTCCTCCTCCTCCTCCCTCCTCCTCCTCCTCCTCCTCCTCCTCCTCCTCCTCCTCCTCCTTTCTCCTCACTTCTTCAGTTTCTCCTCCTCCTCCCCCTCCTCATTCCCTCCTCCTCCTCCTCCTTCTCGGTTCTCCTCCTCCACCTCCTCCTCCTCCTCCTCCTCCTCCTCCTCCTCCTCCTCCTCCTCCCCCTCCTCCTCCTCCTTCCTCCGTCTCCTACTCTTTCCTCCGCCTCCTCCTCCTCCTCCTCCTCCTCCTCCTCCTCCTCCAGCCATTTCGCGTCGGAGCGGCCTCACCTGCACCGGGCCTCCTGGACGATGCGGCGCGCCAACTTCGAAGTGGCATTGCGCGCCCGAGCCGTAAAGAAGAAATGCTGAGGCCAGGCCTCAGTCAAGAAGCAGCGCGGAGCCCAACGTCATCACCTGCAACGCTGAGACCAGGCGAGCGCGCAGCCGCCAGGAAGAAGCCCGCCCCCCTCCGCCCCCTCCTCCGCTCCTTCCTCCCCCTCCTCCAGCTCCTGGCAAACCGGGGCGCCAACCGTTGCGGCGCCGCGGTCAGAGTGCAGGCAATCCGTCGAGAAGACGAAGGACGAGTCCGACGTCAGCAGATACAGCGCTGCGAGAAGCGGGAGGCGAAGGTAGAGCCCGACGTGACCAGTTACAGTGCTGGGATCGAGGGAAAAGCGAGCACAAACGGATGTGCCACGATTAGCTACAACGCTTGGAGCAGTCCGTGCGAGAAGGGTGCGCGCAGTGGCAGCACACGCTGGCGCTGCAAAGCGTGCGGGTGGGCTACGATCAGCTACAGCGCTGGGAGCGACCCGTGCGAGAAGGGGGGCAAGCAGTGGCAGCGGACGCTGGCGCTGCGAGAAAACGGTCGCGAGAAGGGAGAGGTGAAGTTAGAGCCCGATGGCCTTGGCCCTCATCCTCCCCCTGGAAGGCTGCGAGAAAGCAAGCAGTGGCAGCCAGAGCTGGCGCTGCGAGAGGGACAAATGCGCGGGTGGGCCACGATCAGCTACAACGCTGGGAGCAATCCGTGCGAGAAAGGGAGCGCGCAGTGGCAGCGGACGCTGGCGCTGTGCAAAGCGCGCGGGTGGGCCACGATCAGCTGCAACGCTGGGAGTCGTCCGTGCGAGAAGCGGGGGGCGAAGCTGGAGCCCGAGTGTCTCTTCTAGCCAACGCCTCTGGGAACAGTGCGCGAGAAAACAGCGAGCAATGTTCTGCCGCGGTGCAGGGGGGCGCCATCCTGCGTGACGTGGGAGGCGAATGCAGAGCCCGACGTCGTCAGCTACAGCGTTGGGAGCTGGGCAAGCCGCCGAGAGAAGAGAGAGGCAAAGCTGGAGCCAAACGTCATCTAGCTAACACATCTGGGAACAGCGTGTGCGAGAATAGCGCCATCCTGCGAGAAGTGGGAGGCGAAGGCAGAGCCCGACGCCGTCAGCTACAGCGTTGGGATCTGGGCAAGCCGCTGCGAGAAGAGGGAAGCAAAGCTGGAGCCACACGCCATCTAGCTAACACCTCTGGGAACAGTGGGTGCGAGAAGAGCGCCATCCTGCGAGAAGTGGGGGGCGAAGGCAGAGCCCGACGTCGTCAGCTACAGCGTTGGGATCTGGGCAAGCCGCTGCGAAAAGCGGGAGGCAAAGTTGGAGCCAAACGTCACCTTCCTAGCCACCACAGCGCGCTGGGAGAAGCGGGAGGCAAAGTTGGAGCCCGACTCTATCTAGCTACACTCGCTAGAAGCAGCGCGTGCGAGAAGTGCAGGGGCCAACGAACGGGCTCTGGGCGAAAGAACAGGGCACGCACGAGCTACCCTCAGTTACAGTGCAGAGATCAGCCCGTTGTGCGAGAGCAGGAGTGGAGGAACCCCACTCGTGCGAGAAGGGGAAAGCAAGCAGGCAGGGGCAGCGGGGCTGCCCAAGCGTGCGTGCGAGAAGCAGGCAGTGGTAGCGTGCTGCCACGGCGTGCTGCCACGGCGTGCGAGAAGCGGGCGGCGAGGCTGGAGAAACATTTAGTCTCGAGCGAGTTCATTTTAGCTACAACGCTGAAGTGGGGGTTTGTGCGAGAAGGCGAAGGGAGTGGAGAAATCTGCTTCCCCCAGGCTGT